TTGGAAAACGGGTCAGGCAGCCTGTATGGTGGAAATTTTTTTTGGGCAGGGTTGGGCCGGCAAGATAGGCCGGACTTTAAAATGACGGCCTAAGCCTAGAGTCCCAAGCTGGACAACCATAGGCCGTGGGCAGGCTTACGGCCACCCACGAGTCGTTCTCCATTTTTAAACCCCTAATAAATATGAGGGTGTAAAAATCTTTTTAACTTTAATAATTTCTAAGTAGATGTCCACTCTCAAAAAATGGAGTGTGCATTATACATTCGGTCAAATTAGATGAAAAAAAAAGTGATGTTTGCACTATGATTCAAAATTACATAGAGATTCTTTGCCCTTGAATTATAAAGGAATAAAGTGTTCAAGTCTTAAGTCATAACAGGATAAACTGAATTTTTCCTTTGAATTAATTATAATAACATTAATGGGAATCATTTTTCTCATGAGTTCTAAAGATATATCCACCATCTCTAACTTTTATCATTTCCACCCCTTTTTGAGTTTAAACGTAAAAGAGTACATAAAAGGTGAAAATAATAAAAAAATTTATACACACGCCCTTTTTGAAATATGGAAGTGTGTATAAATGGTTAAAATGCAATTGAGAACGTTAATTTAATTAGAGAGTGACAAAAATGCCCTTGTCTATTTCATTTTCTTCTACATAAGCACCTAAGAGAAAATTTCATTTTTATCTTTATAATTTCTCTCGATTTTCAATTACACCCCCAGACTTTAAATAATTTCAATTTAACCTCCAAATTTTTTGAAATCGTATCAATTTTGCCTCTGTCGTCAAATTTGAAATGGAAAAAGTTTAAAAAATTACATTTTTATCCCAAATTTCAAAAAGAAAAAAATGCAGACCCACTCTCTCCTACAATCAAACCACCACCACCACTTCATGCCCTTATATCTCCTTTGTCATAACTTTGTTTTGCCTTATTTTTACGTCGTTGAATTCACCTCACAGCCTAGTTTTCGTATCACCTCTCACACATTTCATTCTTTCTCTTTTTGGATGTCGTTGGAGCTTCGAAAATTGATTAAAAAAAAAGAACATTTCTTCATGACTTGCGCTTTCCAATTTGTGTGTTTAGTAATGCCTTCTCTTCGTCTGTTAGGAATTCAGTAGTCTTGATATGGGTAAGCGGAATAGAGAAACGACATTGAACCTTGTTAGCATCGGTCTTGTACAATGGCTTCTAAATCAACAACACCAAATCACAACCCTTTAGCTCTTCAATTTTAGTCTTGAAAATCACAGGCAACTTCGGTGTGGTTGGGTCTGGTAGATATGAAGTAACAGCCATTATCCTCTTGATCCTCTTCTTTGCCCTACCATACTCACTTACATTCTCATCAGTATTATTAGAGGATAGCAGCTTTGGACCATAGTTTTATTGTCCATAAAGTATTCATCATTAGTAATGAATTTCATGATCTTATTTTCTTGGTTAGAAACAGAAACAAAAACAGAGACATCAAATAGGTTGGTCGCAGGATTCAAGGAGGGCATCTCTGTGATCATCAATGTCTTACGCTTTAATGAATGATCAACAGGGGATGTGAATGAACTGTGGACAATCCTTCTGATTGATCTTTTGGCCTTTGGTATGCAAACTGAGAATGCAAGAGATGGGTGTTTATTGGGGGCTCTCTTCTCATCATCATCATCATCATCATCATCCTATCTCTCTTTGTGTCTGTGTTTAGTTTCTTTTTCTTATTAGTTGTTGTTGTCTGTGTTGTATATGGTTTTGACCTAGAAATAAATGTCAGTCACCATGTGGATGAAGTTGGTAGTTCGGGTGGTAATGTCGATGAAGTTAATGCTCATCTCATCAATATATATACATATCATCTAGGGTGTATTTATATATACGTATCATCTCATCTCTTCATCAACTTCATCACCTTCACCAACATCACCATCTGAACCACCAACTTCACTGCCACCGAACTTGATTACCGCCACCATGAGCATCACCAACACCACATTTCAACACCAAACCTACTACCTTCACAATCAAGTTTCTTTACCACTACCATCAAGTTCCACGGCCACCATCACCTCGAGCTCCGCCACCATCGCCGGATCGCCACCATCACCAACTTTGTTACCACCTAAAATCATGCTCCACATCATGTTATAAGTGAAGAAAAAGAAGAAGAATGAGGAAGATGAAAGAGGAAGATGAAAGAGATGAATGTTTCAGAATTTTCAAAGTTAGCTTTCGGACAACTTTCGACATACTAAAACCGCCCATTACACGAAGAAGTGAGAAATGGAGGTGGTATAGGATGAAGTAGGAAGTGAGGTGAAGAGAATGGCGAAAGAATGAAGTAGAACCGTCAATAATCGAGAAAGATATGAAGTCCGAAAGATGGCTTGAAGAAAAGTCAAAAAGGGGAAGAAAAGTCTTTTTTTTTTTATTATTATCAACTTTCGGAGCTCCGACAGCATCCAAAAAGAGGAAGAACGAAACGTGTGGGAGGTTGTACGAAAACTAGGCTATGAGATGAATCCAACGATGTAAAAATGAGGTGAAACAGAGTTATGGCGAAGGAGATAGAAATGCTTGAAGTGGTGGTTGGTCGTGGTGGTTTGGGTGGGTCTGCATCTTTCTTTTGAAATTTGGGGACAAAATATAATTTTTTAAACTTTTTCCATTTCAGATTTGACGGTAAGGGCAAAATTGATACGATTTCAAAAACTTTATGGGTAAAATTGAAATTATTCAAAGTTTATAGTGGTAAAAATGAAATTTTCTCAACCCCTAGCCTCTTCTATTGCCCTTTCTAACCTTCCCTCACCCCGCTGACTGATTTTTTACCCACCGTTAGGGTTGCAAACGAATCGAGTCGAGTCTTAGTATGTTTGAACTTGTTTATTTAGATTTTAGCGAGTTCGAATATAATAAAAATTTAACGAACCAAACTCGAGCCAAGTTAGCCTAGGTTTGACTAGAGCTCGAGCCTGTTCACAAGCCTTAACGAGCCAAAGAAATTATAAATTTATACTTCTATATGAGACTAAAATTATAATTAAAACTATGACTATACAATTATATATACAATATATATAAAAATACTAAAAGAACAGTCAATACCTTATAACACTATTATATAAATATATTATCTATAAGTTACACTATTTAAATATATAAATAACATATTTATATCCTTTAATATATAAATAATATATTTATCATATTTTTTAAATAAATATTAAACGAGTCGAGCTAACGAGCCCAATCTTAGTATATTTGGGCTTATTTATTAAGATTTTAACGAGTTCGAGCTTAAACTCAATAAAAATTTAATGAACCGAGTTAGAATGAATGCTTACAAAGTCGAACTCGAGCCTGTTTATGAACGACTCTATTCATTTACAGCCTTACTCATCGTTAACACCTCATCCACCTATTTCGGTCAACCCACGTCTGTCCTATCTAACTCCACTCCTTCCCCATCCATTCATGTCACAACTGACCCTTTATTACATAACTTCGCCTAAGCCAACTAAACCCTAGCCACCAAAATCACCTAAATGCCTCCAGTCTCTTCTTGTCACCACCATGAACCCTATCTTTTTGTTCATGTAAAAACAAGTAAAGCATATAAGACTATGTGTAGGGTGTAGGTGATAAGTATGCATAACCTGGTTTCAACAATAGTAACAAGAGAATGAGCAGGGTTGTTAGGAGAAGCAATTGAAAGGTTTAAGGTAGCTGTGGTAGTTAAGTTTTTTATTGACCAAGATGTTGGGTTGGGTTGGGTTGGGTTGGGTTGGGTGACAGAGTGGTTGAGGTGACGAAAATGGTTAGGGGAAGGGCAGAGCTAGGTAGGAAAATGACGAGGTGATTGGAATGGATAGGGAAGGGAAGACAAGAAGAAGTAATGGAGGAAGGCGTAGCAAGAGGCTAGATGCAAATGACAAATATGTACAACTTACAACTTGCAATTGCACTCATGCACAAACGACACTTGTATCCAAAATAAAATTGCAGCAACGAGAAAAGAGGGCATATGGATGCAATGGTGAAAATGGGATAGGGTGGAGAAAGAAGAAGGTTTGGAGTGACAGAAGAAGATGATAGAGGATAAAGGGGATTCATATTGGTGGTGGAGGGTAGTGGATGAGATGGGAATTATAGAAGAGTGATGGTTGGTTGGTGGCCAAACTAGTGGTTGGAGTTGGAGAAGTAAAAAAAAAAAAAAAAAAAAAACTCAAAGCAATTTGATAATTCATTGAGTAATTCTCACTAGTTTGTAAATAGTTTTAATGTTTTCATTTCAATGGTAATTTATGAAAAAATATTTTTAGCCCCATTTATGACCTGTTCCCAAAAAATAAAAAATAAAATAAAATCTCCAAAATTGAAAAATGTCATGAAACACTGTGGGGTCAACTATCCAACATCTTTCGAGGAAAGCAAGATGTCAATCATCATCATTACATTCGCCTATGTGTTTTCTAAAATTCTACCACTCATCATCACAAACATTTAAAAATAAAAGAAAAATATTTGGGAGTATTAATTAGTGTTCCTACTAATTAGGTGGCAGTGAGTCTCGTCATTAATGATGTGATGTTTTGAATTTGGAGTTGTATTTTTTTTTTTTTTACTTTTTTAATGCATTAGTGCTATTAGTGGTGATACTTTTAGTGAGATGAATCATTGTTGAATATAAAAATAAATCAATGCATAAATAATAAAATCCAACCAACAAAAAAAAGTACAATTAAGAGGCTAAATATTTTATATAATATTTTATATAAGTGTAAGACTCATATAGTATAAGATTTACTATATGAATCTCACGTAAATATCACGCTCACGTGAAATATTTAATAAAAATATTAATAAAATATTTAAAATTCTTAACATTATATAAAAAAAAACGATAAAAACCTAATAGCATCCAAGAAGAAAAAGCACATTTTCATAAAAAGCAACTTTTATTGAAGCATATACTGACATATATAACATAGACGCAAACACAAAATGCATAATAATAGGCAGTCAAGTGTGAGGGTGGTGTCGCCTACCATGGACGAGTCGTGGAGGATGAGAATGGGAGCAGGCACGAAGACGAGGCCGAAACCGAACCCGAACCTCCCGCGGCGGAGATCGACGGAGGAGACCTCAGCGAGGCGAGCCGTCTTCGACTCCCAAACCCTACTACACCCCGACGACTTCACCGACGTCTTCGGAGGCCCTCCTCGGACCGTTCTCTCACGCCAATTCTCAACCGCCGACTTCGCCAAGTCATCGAATCCGTTTTACGAGGAGATATTCCGGGAGACTACGGCGCCGATGATCGGGAAAGGACGAAACTTGCCGGAGTTCAGGATTCCGGCGAGCAGAGAGAGGAGCGATAGGTTTTACAGCGATATATTTGGGAAGAAGAATGATGCTGATGTTCGGAGGTCGAGGTCGAGGTCGAAATCGAATTCGTCGTCGGTGTTGAGTTCGGAACAGTTGAGTCCTCTACGGCCGGAGGTGACCGCCGCCGACGACTTCTCGATCTCGTCGTTTGCTTCGAAGCTCAGGTGAAAAACACTAACGTTTAGTTTTTAAAATGTGTAATGAGGCGTCGTTTGCCAAATGGTTTTTTTTTAGGTAAAAAATCAAAAGTCACAAAATAAAAAAAATTAAAACACCAATAACTTATATAAAAAAGTTAAAGATTTTTTTTTCCTTTACTTTTTACACATATTTTTGTAAAAAATTAAAAAATCATCCCAAACATATTAATTTTTTTATATCATATTTTAACAAAAAAATCAAAAAATTATTTAAAAAGCTTCTCAAATGAGCCCTGAGTTGTATTTTGAAAGAGGAGTTTAAGGAAGTTAAAAATTTGTTCTATTATTATTTTTGAAAATAATTTTTGAATGACTTATAATTTTTTTTTCGTTGTATGATTTTTGAAAATGATTTTTGAATAATTTGTAATTTTTTTTATTTTTTCAGATAAATAAATAGGTGTGAGAAAAAATTTAATTAATTGATAAGTAGAATATGAGAAGATAAAAAAATAATTTATTAATTTATTAATAATAATAAAAGACATAAAAAAAAAAGTTTTGAATCATATTTTAAAATTTAACTTACGAAGCACTGTCTAACTGACCACTTTCATAATTTATTTATAAATATGTAATTTTATTTTTTTGACACCACTAAAGTGTGATCACTCCGGTTCATAATGACTTATTCATCCCTACTATTAATTGAGGTAATTTGATTTTAATATAAGTTTAGAAAAATATTTTTAAATTAATAATAAATTTTATAAATATTAAATTATACTAAATTTCAGAATTTTTTCTTATTTTTATTTTATTTTATTTAGCTGTGTAGTTTGGTTGAGAAGTTGGATGGGTGCTACGAGTTGGGATCCCCTCCTTACAATTCTCCTTGAAACGGCTGAGATTAACTGTTGCAATATTCAATAATTGATTTTAATTTCTTTAACAACTGATTTCAGTCGTTGAATATTATAACAATTGATCTCAAATGTTACAAACAGAATTACAAGGAGGAGATCTGGACTCGCTACAATACTACCATGATAAGGCGGCGTGGCATCCCCTAATCACGGGAGAGAGTAAAAGTTACTTTAAATGACATTTTGTTGAAAAAACCAAACCGTGCTATTAATGGCACTCAAGTTTCTTCTTTCACGTCAATCAAAAAAAAAACAAAAAAAAACAAAAAAAAATTCTCTTTGATGGACTCCGCCTATTCTTTTTTTAATTCTATCATTAAATTTCTACAGTAAATTACACTCATATCTCCTCAAATTAAAAAAAAAAAATACTCTTTCCGTTCCAAAATTATAATTCTTTTTGAGGAATAATTTTTTTTGATAGTACAATTATTACACTTGAAAAAAATTAATTTTTAAAATTACGCTTTGATAGTATATTTTTTGAAAAATATCAATGTTATAATTGTACTTTTTATATTGTTAATGAATTTAAAAGAAAAGCAAAATGAGAAATTTATATTATTTTTGTACTTGATTTTTGAAAAGAGATTACTATTTTGGGACAATGAAAAATAAAATAAGAGATTAATTTTTGGGGACGTATATATATAATAAATTTCATAATTTTAGCATAATTTTATTATTTTTTAAGGAAAATTATACCGGCAGTCTTTATAGTTTACCCATTATGTCATTTTAATCTTTCACTTGTAATTGGTTTGATTTTGATCATTAATTTTAAATTTTGCTTCAATTTAATCCAATTGTTAATATCATTAATGTTTTTTAAAAAATTTATAACGAAATTAGTTGAACTTAACTGAGTGAGTTAGGATGAGAGAGAGTAGAGAGGGTTTGACCGGAGTTGGGGAGGAGAGGTTGTTGGGTGAGGTGGGGTTGGGTGGGGGTAAGGTTAGGTTTTGAGATGACAGAGTTTAATTTTATTATGACCTCACAAAAATTGGAATTAGTAGTTGATATTGGGTTAATTAATTTTTATTCAAAAGTTGATATGTGAATATTTTTTTATTCAAAAGTTAATATTTAACGGCATAAATTGTGTATATCAAATAATGTGTTGTGGAAGTAGAACTATGGGGAGCTTCTATTTGCATATCCCCATTTCCTTCTATGCACACACTTAATAAAAATTATTTTTATTATAATTTTATTTTCAAGTGAAATTACTATTATGGACATCAAATAAATACATTCGGAAGTTGAATATCGAAAAAATGATAAAAATTCAGAATTCTACTTCCGAATCAATTGTTTATTTTTGAAATGTTACTTCCGAACCAATTATTTATTAAAAAAGATATGTATAGAGTGTAATGGGTGTGTGCAAATAGAAACTTCCCTATTGATTGAAAGAAGGAAAAAAAAAAACCTTTAAATGACTTTATTGCCCTAGTGCCATTTATAGAATGACGTAAGTGCATGGTTGTTCACAAATTGAATTTGTCCCGTTTTAAAGTAAATTAGAAATTGAACTAGTTGTTATGATTTCAAAAATTAGAACCATAACCAAAATGTTAAACTTTTGTAATCGGTTAAAAATCGAACCACAGAAACCGATTTGATTAGGCTCGATTTTATGATTTTAGAAAGTTTATATATATAATTAAGTTGGTTGAAATTTGTCAAATTTACAATCAATTGTTCAAATCTCACTACTAATTTTTATTTTATTATTTTTACATACAAAAATATTTTTAAAATATAAAAATAAACATTTAACAGTTCAGTTTAGAACCGCGAACCAAACCAATTTGAATGGTTCAATCATTTTTGAAATTGAAACGAAAACTGAAACTAATAAAAACCGAACCAAATCAATGGGTTAGGCCGGATTGGTTCATTTACCAATTCCACCATATTTATTTATTTTTATTTTTTTAAATAAGTGTGTGGTGTAGTTTTTGTGGAGCGACAGCCCAATCAAAGCCATGTAGTCAATGTATTTCACCCCGTAGAAGCTTCGGTTGAAAATGTGCTGCAAATTGGTGAAGTATGTGTTTTTTGTTAACTAATTGAGCTTCCAAATATTGTTAAGGATGAATTTTTAGATTGATGCAATATAGAACTTGTTTAAATTTGGCACAACAACCTTGAGAATATCGTTCAAATAGAGCAACTACTTTGTGGTTGAAGGGTAAGTTCGTCTCTATCAACTCTTCCCAAACCCCATTAATGGTTGTAAATGTAACTCCTTTGCTTTTTTTACTTTTTATTTCTTAATACATCTCCAATGGTTGGTGTTAAAATGACAGGAAGTTATTCAATATTTTCGAAGTATCGCGTGTCTGTATTCCCTAACTAATTATTATTTAATATCTTCTCTCATATTTCTTAATCACTCAGCACAATACTCTATCTACCCACCTTCTCTACTAATCATAATAGTATGAAATATCATGTGTTCATATTCTGGAATTACTGAATAATTATTCCAAATGACAATGTCAAAATCAAAATTTAAAATATTACAATTTGAAAATGTAATAGTTCGGCAATATTAATTCAATACTGAAAACTGTCACTTTTCTATTTATTTTCAACAAAAGTCCAATATAAATGTCATTTATAGACCTATCATAACAGAAAAAGAGAAAGTGCTCTTCCCAAAATTTGCCATTTTGTGACGAAATTCTGTACCACTAGCTATAGTTTGGCATAGAAGATTACCATTGGAGATAAATTTGGAAGAGTTATTACCAAAACTTGACTTTAGGACGGAGGATATAGCACACCACAATCCATTGAAGTTACTCAGTATAAGTTAGTTTCAATCTATCTCCAAGAGAAATCAATAGATCATAAACAAGTAAGCTTTTATGATTAAATGGAATTAATTTCTGAAACAATAGCTTCTCACATACTATGCAACTTTGCTAAGATTTTGCTCATTTACAGGCCAATAAACATCCCATGTAGATGGAACTCATCGACAATGATGCCGAACGAACACCCTATGCAACAGGAGATGCCTTATTTTGTTCCGTGCAGTCGGTCTTCCCACTTTGATGACCAATTTCCCCAAAGTGAGCACATTGACAACTTCAGAAGCTCCCACTTTGGATTTTCAAGGCTTGTTTCGTCCCCAGAGATCAGTAGTATTGAACCCAATTCATATAGAAATGTCAAGGTCTCCATGGATGATCTAGAACTCAACTCCCCTTCATCTGTAGTCTCTTCACTATGTCAAGATCATGAGGTCAAAACCAGCAAAGTTCAATATAAAGGATGGGGAGAACAAGAAATGGAGCAAGAAGAAGATGAAGTCATGAGTTCTTATGTTATTGAGATTAATGCAGACCATAGGGAAGGGACAGAGGAAGAAGCACTAGGCGTTGACGAAGCAATTGCATGGGCCAAAGAAAAGTTCTATACACATCATTCTGATCAAATTTGGAGCAAATGTGAAAAAGATCAGTCTGCTGATGCAGAAGGTGGTGTGGAACTTCTTATAATTTCTATACGAAACGTTGACATGTGAGAAGTTTGTAAGAAAATTTTATGTATGTCTTTGAAATTCTGCAGGATTTTCAGATGGACAGATGGATAGACAAGGAGCAACGCAATCTCTGCTGGTAAAATTCAGTTTTTCTGTTAAAATTCACGAAAATAAACACTGAGAGAGAGAGGACTAACAGTCCTATTTGCTGAAGTGGCATGTCGCTGTATATATGAAGTGGGTTAATAATAAAACTCTAGAAACAAAACTGAAAACATAAACAGAAAACCTAAATTAATGACTAGTCCTTATAAGTCTATCAGAATCAATTATGCATAATTGTGTAAGCAAAACAAACAATTGGATTCAGTGCCTTCTGGATTATGTTCTATTGAGGAGGCTAAGACTATCCCTGTTGTAAACCAAAAGTGAGATTAGCATATTTGTAACAATAAAACTATAAAATGTTATGCAAAATTGTTCTTAGTTCTGGAATTTTATGAAGGAAATGTTATAACCTATTATATCCCATTTTGTGTATTTGTACCTATATGTTGATGATAACTTTGAATTTTTTGGATGGCGGAGGACTCTACATTAACTTCTTTCCTTGTGCAGGAAGAAGAACCGAATAAATGGGCACCTGAAGGAAGAGAACTGGAAAAAGATGTAAGTTTCTTCTAGTTAGGTTTACATCTATTTACTTTGAACACATGGTAGAAGAACCATATACTTGTGCTTATTGCGCACATTGATATGCATAAGAGAAAACTTGTAAGCTTTTTACACTCAAAGTACTTCAGGTGAGTCCCATTTCATTTGCAAAAACAGATCATATATTACATGCTATGTGACATGGACTTGTGTACAAATGTAGAGTGTTTGTATGCGTCTATATGTTAGATTTATCTAATTCTCATTTCCAAGGATACTTAAGACATGACAAGATGTCATATTTTTAAAACAATTTTTTAGGATAAAATGATATTTACAAACTAAAAGAAAGAATGTTAACCAATAATGTTAATCTTAGTAAATTCAACTATTTACAAATACTTGTCTGGCACATACCAACTGCACATACTTGTTGGGCACATATCCAACTAAACATGTCAGACACATACCAAGTGTTGGGTGTTGACAAAGGTACTGCACAAATTTAAAATAGCCCATCTGACATAGATTATAGGTAGATGGGTTTTTGACTCTCTTTTTTGGCAAGTAATGTCTAGTTTTTCATAATACATTCTTGCTAGTTTATGTGGCAGTTTGTATCTACAGATGCGTCTAAACCCTTTCTCAAATGTTAAGTACTAATGCCTTCATACGTTATTGAGCTTAAAGTTAACCTTGAAAATTTTATTACGGACCAGGAAAACTATTATAAGGTTCAAATCAAACAAGCAAATAAAGAAACAAATTATGTAGTGTTATTTGTATTATAGCTTTTGATCAGATCCTTCCAAAATCTCAAGACATACTTGATTTCGTGATTATAGAACTCTGGTAATCACATATCAATGTTATTGATTGCTACTACAGTATGGTTTAGGAAGTACCAAAAAAAAAAAAAAATCACAAGGTGTTGAATCTTCTTCTCTCTCCATTTCATACATCATAAACGACTTCCACTTGGCTTTTGTCTCCAATTTTTTTTTCCCCCTCTCAAGAGATATGAACCAACTGTTGAAAAATTCACTTTTTTATCTACCTTCAAAATGAACAGATGGAAATGGAGGTATTAGATGAAGGTATACGGTTGTGGTCAGCTAGTAAGGAAGCTAACATCCGGTTGCTGCTCTCGACATTGCACCAAGTAAGATATCTAAAGTTGTTGGTATTGTTGCAGCATTATTTCAGAGTTAGTTTTGGTGATTTGAATCACACATTTATAATAGTTTATTTATTTTATGTAATTCAGATTCTATGGCCTGACAGTGGTTGGTATGAAATCCATATAACAAACCTGGTAGAAAGCTCACAAGTGAAAAAGGCTTATCAGAAAGCAAGGTTGTGTCTGCACCCTGACAAGCTGCAGCAAAGAGGTGCAACGTTCATGCAAAAATATGTTGCAGAGAAGGCATTTTCAATTCTCCAGGTACGTTTTGGTGCTTGTATTACAACTTGAAAAATTTATGTATTAATCAAATGGAACAAACGGTAAATAAATTAGAAAGAACGATGTGAGAAAGATGAGGGAAGAATTTTGATCGAAAATGGTTTCAGACCATGGATAGTGAATTTTGCACTTGATCAGAGTTGAACAAGAAAAATGCAGATGGAAAGTTCTATCTGTAATTTGGTGGTGAAGGGTGAGCATCTAAAGCTAGAATTGTTAGGAGGAGAAATGGTAATTTAAATGAATTCCAAGGCAGACTTGTGATCATAGTTACTGGAAACTCTATTCAAAAGGGAAAACTTGTTTCCCAGAGACTGGTTTGGGGAGGAGTGGGTAAAAATCTCTAATGAAGTGTTGAGAGAAATTTCTCTGAGAAGTGTAAAAAGATCTTACATAATTTAAAGAAACCTTTCAGAAACTCTTAAAAAGCAACTTTCTAGAAACATGCTTCTCATAGTCTATACTATTTTTGCTCTAGAATTTTATTTTTCAAAATAATATATAGTTCTTCTGATATATTTATGTAGATATTATGTTGTGTTAGTTTTTTAATGATCATCAAACTATGTTGATGCTTTGTATTGTTATTCTTACAGTTTTTAATAAAATTTCATATATAGATTTTCTATTGAATCTTATATTACTTACCATTTTCCGTTTCTCTTATTTATCACGTATCACGTTTCTATTCCCATAATGCATTCCGGTTTCCATTGACAACTATGCTTTTGATTGTGAGTCTTTCTCAATGAGATTTTGTGATGTCGTAACAGGAAGCATGGGCAGCATACATCTCCCAAGACTTCTTCTTTAGCTAGAGGATGAGTAGTAGTCAGTCCTCTCTGGAAAGGAAACCTGTTTCAACTCAAAACTGAGGCACCTTATGTATATATTCAAAGAAAGTGCCAGAGATGAAACACATAATTCCATTGTTTTTAGTACAGATGTTTCAAAAACCTGCTTCTTTTGTATCCATATACTGTTGTGTTTTGTCACTCAATGGCTAGACTATGTAATTTTATAATATGAGAAATGCGTTGCCCACCCCGACCTGAGGTATGCATCAAACCCTGGTGTTTTACTCGAGAACTAGATGTTCACGTCTTCATCAAGTGAATCCAACGGCGTGGTGGATTGAAGGATGATAGTGAGATTACCACGACTATGAGTTCCTTATTGAGATTTCAATTGTACTTTGCAGAAACAATCTTGGAGCTCTACTTTTTCTCTTTCTTCCTATGAGTTTCACCAGTTTCTTTACCTGACAATTTTTAAAACTTTATTTATCAAGTGCATCGAGTTTAGGACAATCACTTTTTTTTTAATGAAAATGTAACTGCTTAGTTTCTTGATTTGAAGCTTGCCAAATGTTAAAAATCTAATAATGTTTGAAATTGGAAAAAAAGAAAAAAAAGAAAAAAAAAGGGTGATTGTCAATAATACTTTTGTTAGAAGTCGTAGCTAGCAACTTAGCAACCAAGTTTTTTCCACTCATAACCAAAAGGATATATGGCAATGACATTGTAGAGAATCTGGAGGAGAGGGTACTGAGACTGACAGGTTAGTATTGGAGAGGTGAAAAATTGCAGATGATAAACTGGGATCATTGGATACTGTCATTGTATAAATATTAAGGTAAACAAGACTGAGCTTTAGCTCTAACATAAATGCATGAAAAAGTGTTTGGGTAGAGCTCTAATGAAACTAGACTACAATAAAGAAATTCATAGGGAAATTTGAGTACTTTAATCTTCGTTGTCCTCAATGAGTTTCAAGAGTATTATTGGTTAGATTGGGTTTCTCTCTCTCTTTTTATTCACTTACGAACTTTTCACCCTCTTAATGTTGTGTTTAGTTGAGAGATTTGGGAGGGAATTTGGAAGGGAATTTGGAAAGGAAAAGGAAAATGGTGTGTGAAACTAGGTGAAATGTAGGTATATTTTATTCAAATTTTACCTACCTTTTTCATTTCCTTTTCTAAATCCCTCCTTAAATCTTCCAATCAAACACAGCAGAAGGGATCCACTTTGTACTAGGGATTTGTTCACACGTTTTCATTAAGGCAATCACACTTTACCATGTACTTTAACTAATTTCAAATCATTCCACATTAATTAATGAAGTTTCAAAATTATTTTTTTTTTGTTAATATATATTTATCAACAATGATAGAGACCACTAATTTTGGAATTCTAAAAAGACCACTGATGACATGGCACTCAATAAAAAAAGAAAAAAAATACAACACCAAGGCCAAAACATCAAATCATTACTGGTGGGACCCACTGCCACATCATTAGTGATAGCACTAATTAGTGCTCTCACTCATTTTCCTATATTTATACATTGTTAAAGTAGATAAGCTAGTTTTAGTCTGTTTGATTTTGGGCTTGCTTAGGCCTCGTTTGGGAATAGGCTCATTTAGTAACTTTTTAGCTATTTGGTTAAAAAGGTAGGTAAAAAAAACTTATATGTTTGGAATGACTTTTTGGCTAATTACAAAAAGATGTGCAAAAAGTAGAGAGAAAAGAGAATCTTTGACTTTTTGGTATGAATTGTTGGCTTTTTGACTAAAATGGTAACTTTTTGACTTTTTTGCTAAAAAGGTAAGTCCCCAGACGGGGCCTAACTTACTCGTGAACAAAGACATTTACGGTCTCACCAAGTATGCTTAACCCAAGGGCTCATTATCCTAGTACTATTCTCACCAAAAAAGCAGTCAACAAAACACTAGGGCTCAACTATCCTAATACTATTCTCACCAAGCACACTTAACTATTTGGTTATGGAATCTAGTATATTAGTGCTGCGAAGATAAAACCTCTTTAAGTTTGGACAACTCAAGTTGCAATCAAAAAACAAAAAAAAGTGTGGACAACTCAAATTATTTTGCCTTTGGAAAAAAAGAAGAGGAAATTGTGGGTGAAACCAGGAGCAAGTCAACAACATATGTACCATGGTTTTTTGGGTGAATAATGTACCATTGGCCATTCCATGAAAATATTGTCTGCTCAAGAGCTCACATTACATATGAAGATACAGCCCACCACCATTACCATTTAGTACGAGTCCATTCACAAATATGATCACGAAAACATGCATTTATTGCTGTAAATTTGTAGATAAATGGGTTAATAAGTACAAAGCAAAATGATATCTTGATCCCTCCTAATCTTTTTTTTTCTTTATAGAACTTGAGTTATCATCCCAATTCATACTTTGGACCTCACCTACAAAAGTCAAAACTCTAAAAATTTCTAAGAACCCTCAAATAATACCAAAAGTATCCTTATAAAAATAGGAAAGTTCTATTTGCACACTATACAAACTCTCAGTACATACCATAAATGTGTTTAGATATAAATTTTTGCGCACATATCCAATGTTCGGATTATTTAAAGTTACGAACGAAAATAAATTGTTTAAATATAGATTCTGTTTAATTATTTATATCTAAGCAACTGCTTTATGTTTATAAATTTATATCCGAACATTTGGCTTTTATTTAGAAATTTATATGAGAACACCATTGATGGTGTGTATTGAGAGTTTGTATGGTGTGCAAATAGAATTACCCATAAAAATATCACACCTACCAAAATGCACACCCCTTCAGAACATTTCATCTCCCAAAACCCTTAATTGTCGAACTCTCACCATTGAACTCAAGTTTCTCTCTCACCGGGACCTCTTGAACTCTCACCGTTGAACTTAAGCTTCCTCTCACCATCGACAGAGCTTCACCATCGATCTATGCCTACCGTCGATCTTTGTCACAAGCTATTTCTCACAGCCGACCTCTCTCCACCGACGATCTCTCTCACATCCGATCTCGCACTGTCAACCGCTTTCTGCCATTGATCTCTCTCACAGTCAATCTCTCACTGCCGACCTCTCTCCGTTGTCGATCTCTCTACCTCCGTGTTTGGACATATGTTGCCAAACAAATTACCCATGTTCGGATTGTGTTACTAAACAATTTATACATGTTCGGACTTGTATTACCGAATAATTTGTACTTGTTCAGATATGTGTTACGAAACATTATAAAAACGTAACGTCCTGTGAACAAGTTTGACCCGTCAAAGTTTAACAAATAAAGACAAGTATGCATCAACTAGTTTGATTAACAAATAAAACTAAAATTCATCGCATAACCAAAACATAAGTATGCATTAAGGTTACATCCAAAGTGCCAAAGATATGAATAAAAAAGTTTGGATCCAAAGTGCCGAACATATGAATAATGTTCAGTTAGACGTCACCATGCTAATGCCTTTAATTCGGCCCTATGTTGCTATTTTTTTGGCATATGTTCAGGAGTTTAGTATCGGAAAAAAAATCGAACTGTTTTCACTATTTATTTGTTTGTTTTTTAAAAAAACTTATCATTTCAAGATCAACCTCCTCCGAACTACAAACATCATCCAAACTGTGAACCTCCTCTGAACTTATATTGTTATGTTCCATTCGTCTCATGGTATTGGGCTGTTGGAAAAAATTTCACTCATCGCCATTATCAGAGAAGTGTGTACTGTCAAATAGTTGCCATTGAAAGTTGCCGGAAGGCTGGCCGCTGGAGGGTTTTGACGTGTATAGGTGGTGATGGAGGTAGCTACTCCCATAAATTCTATGTTATGATTTAGCGGGTGAGTGGGTTTAATTGTGAGATGGGGTGTTCCAAAATAATTCATGTCCTTTTTAATAATTTCATTTGCGATTATTATTGTTATAAAAAAAATTAAAGAAATTGGGGGGTTCCAAAGTATTAATTGGTATGCTAATAGTAGCACTCATATACAAAAGTATATATATTCATTGACCTTGGTGTTGAACGTGGTAAGGACGAATGGGAATGGGATGTTGTAAAGGCAAAAGTGAAGACTAATCTCTTCTGAGTCTGAGCATAGGCTGAGCACTACAATGTGAACTGATTCAACTAATACCGGTTTATTCTAATTGATCGGCCTTTGGAATTACAGTAAAAGAAGTTTCGATTGTTACAATTACACTAAAGCCAATTTGAAGAGTTTTTGCCAGTACTACAATAACACTGAACTGTCTCTCAACTAACATTTCCAAGTGTCAACAACTATACTAAAGCAAGTTTGAAGAGCTTTGCTTGCATAACAACTGCATGAAGATAAAAATGGAATATTTGATGAACTGAGGAAATACACCCTCCTCACCTTACAAAACCATTGATGGAAAAATTAAAGGAAAAGAAAGTCTTTAGATGTAAAATCATTATTTTGTTCTTGTAATGACCCAGTGAGTTAGATTTACAGGCGCCAGCCTTGATTTTTGAACATCCTCATCATCACTCTTAGGAAGAGAGTCGATTGTAGTTGAGGCAACATTCGCTACTAGCTCTCTCATTCTCTGTATTCCATGACTCTTTCCAAGGTAATCAAGAGCCTGCATTTCCACTTTCATTTAGCTTTCATTAATTAAATTACGTATGAGTGATAATATTGTGTGTGCATTAGAAGTTGAGACAGACTTCAAGCGGCATGCACTCAATTTGAATTATAGACCCACAGTGCAACTCATGGCATTTAAAATATCAAGAAACTTGCCAATATTATGAATTGTCTTCAAGACAATGCAAATAAATTAGAATATAATTTATCAACAATAATAGAATATCACCTTTTTCTTTTCAAATTAAAAAAAGAAAAAATAGAATATCTTCATTTCCTCAGCAAGAAAAAAAACTAGAAACAGTAATATCCTAACCATCAACTGTCTAGATGCAATTTAACAACCCTGCTAACACTTTTCGCAGAGATTTTATACATGGGATTTGTTTGAAGATTATATTTTAAGAATTAGCTTTGGCAAATGAATACAAAAACCAGAGGGCAAACAAGACAAAAAGAGAGGCTTCAGACAGGTAGAGGTTGTGAGGTCCAAATCAAATAAGAAAGGCCTAAATAAAGATAATCAGATTCAGAGTCATCAAAGTTTTAGTTCAAAATAGGATACACTTGGCTTTGGTTTCTCAGGGGAGACATGGGCATCCTTTAAATTGTGAACTTTTGAGAAGTGCCACACAAAGGCAGTTGTTTTTTGCTAATACAATGCAGATTTTAACTTTTGTCCCAACCAATAAAACACAAAATATATATACAATAGAAAACTGAAAAAAAAAAAACAAAAAACAAAAACAAGCGTACATAAATATTGAAAAAGTAGCACATTTATGAACATTCCCAAATTGGAATAAAATGTTAAATTTTAAAAACTCTGTAAAATGT